GACTATTATTCGAGCCTCCAGTCATCCTTAATGTGTCTAACAATTCGAGTACCCTCAATTACTATGTATTTATATTTTTAGCATCAAAATTTTATTTTTTTACAAATGTGTCATCTTAAGATGGTGATATTTTTTACGTGATATGAAAGAATGTAAAATGGTATGGTGTTTGATTATATTGCTGGTGTTAAGATGGTATGGTGTTTATATTGGAGGAGACCAATATATTTGCTTCTAAAAAGCATGAAAAACTGATTTTTTTTTTTAAATTATATTATCATATTTTATAAAAAGCTTTATTTTTGGAAGCATTATTTAATATTTTAAAAATGAATATTATAAATTTATATTTTTATGCTTAATATTGATCTCTTAAAATTTCAATTTTTTATAGAATATTCTATTAATTTCTTTTTAAGCGTGCTGTGATTTCGTAGCATGCCGACTTCCCAATAAATCAGGTGGTTAAATAAAAAAGAAATTTACATGCATGCCACAATATTTTATAAATTTACATGCTTTACGTTGCATTTTAATTAAAAAAATAAATAATCCTAAATACTGATTTAATTAGACTGCAATTTTTTAGAGAGAATAAAATTGAGATTAACTATTCATTGATTACTAAAAGTCAATAAAAAAACATTTAATCCAATCAATTACTAAAAACCTAATTAGCCTACGTTTAGTTCGCAATAAAGCATCTCTTCTGAAAATATATACTTCCCCAAAATATCAACTGGCTCCGAATAAATTAATTTAATTATATTTCAGGAATTAAATGATTGCAGCAAACATCGCATCTCCGCAAGCAGTATTCGTGTGTAATAATTTTTTAAAAAGAAAAATTATTGTATACGGATACCAAATACAGAGATGAATGCAGTGTCGGATTTACACCGTAGATATCTACGGTGATCTCCAGTGATGATGCAATCAAATTTTTTTAAAAAAAATTTAAAATGAGACCCACCGAAATACATCCTCACAGTAGATCATCATGGTCGACGATACAGATCAGACGTATGCAATAATTTTTCCATCAAGAGTGAACTGACACATGAATCTATTTAGGAGATAAAGATAGTAATCTACTATCACAGGAAAGAGCAGTCTCAGAAAAGTATTAAAAATTAGGAAGATTTACAAACATGCCACTAATTTTTTTGCATTTACGTATCTAACACTTAAACTACAATTTTTACATACATACCAATTCCAGTGTATGAAAAGATGAATTCACTATTTAAAAAAAGATTTTTTTTTTTTTTGTGAGATGAAAACTTTTAGTAGTATAATTGTAATAATTAAAATTCATGAGAATTGGGTGGCATGTATTTTAATGCCATAAAATTATAATTTCACGCATTTTGTATCACAGTAAATTTACAATAAGTTAAATGAGAACATAAAAGCATAAATGCTAATACATTTTTGGGTGAGCATTGAATTATTAAATCATCCAAACAAAAGAAAAACAGTGCTGGAGGTTAAATCAATAATTCAATGCTTATGAATCCCCTCTGGGTCAGAAAGTTGGGCAGAAAATGCATTTTCCAATTATACGAGGTGTTTCCTAAAAAAAACATATATTCACCTCTGGAAATTTGATGCCAAACATATTAAAAATATATGTATAAAAAAGAAAATGTAATGGATGGTTGGATACCTATTTGGGCTGCTTCAGCTTTACTTACATGGATGGATTCCATCATTTGTCAAGAAATTCTGGAGATTGAATGATCGTCGTTAGCTCCTTTAAATTAGCTAATATATGACGCGGTCCCAAGCTTTCAGCACCGAAGAAATTCAATATCTGCTCCAAGTCCTGCACAACCAAACAGTTAAAATACATCACAATAAATTTCAATCAAGTCATTCGAGTCTATATATCTCTCGCTCTCTCCCGTCTCTTTGTTATAATTTAATGTTATTTTATCATTCTATTTATGCGTGAAAAGGCACGTGCAAGTATAAAGTTTCAGCACGATGTATCTAAGAAAGAAGTAATCGTGTTTGAATGCGTAGCATATTGATTAGAAACAAAATGAAGAATCTCAAGATGTCGGGTTCAAGCAATCTCAGACCCAAAAATAAAATAATAATAATAATAATAATAAGCAATCGCCAGAAGTATGTGTAATAACCATGTATTTAGTTCTTTGTTGTGAATTGCTAGGCTTACTTTAGTTTGAGCGAATATAAGGATAGATTTTTTTTGTATTTTTTGTGCATTCAAGGCTATATTTTATGTATTTTTTTATCAACTTTCAGGAATGATGTATTGAAAAGTGTGCGTATTACTTTATGTGCCTGTTTTCAGTCCGATTGGCGTATGATCATACAACTAGATTTCCTGAAGCTATCTGGTGTTTATTTCACTAATGATTTTGTGTGCGCTCTAAACTCTGGATAACATGTTATGACTATTTTTCATATTTTTTTAGTCTTATATTAAATCTATATCATTACTTGCACGTATGATTTGAACTCTTTCAAGAACTAACTATAGATATTTACAGCAGGTATATTTATTTTATTATACAAAGTTTCAATTATTTCATTTCTCCCTAACACCAATTTAAGTTGCCTGCAAGAATGGTAAGAAAATGAAACTATGAGTAAATGTTGAGGATTTTAAGAGAGAAGAATTAGTTTGTCTGCTGTGCAGGAAGAAAACAACAAGAAAACACAGCTAATTGGTGAAGATACGAATGTTGAGGAGGACCCATCATGTGCATTCTATCATTATATAGCTACGCCACTTTAAGAGCCAGGACATGGGGCTGTAAACGAGCCGAGCTTGAGCGAGCTCAGGCTTGGCTCATGTTCGGCTCGTTCGAAATAGCTCGTGTTCGAAATCGACTCGTGAACAGTGTGTTCGTGTTCGGCTCGATTTAAATATTCGTGCTCGTGTTCGGCTCGAAATTTGCTCGTTAAACTAAAATTGAGAAAAATAAATGTAAAGTGTGGGATTC